ACACACACACACACACACACACACACACACACACACACACACACACACCTTTAAATATAGACTTCATGAGATCAATAGCTTTTGGCTGTTTTGTTCATGCGTTCTCTCCAGTGCTTAGAACAGAGCCTAGAAGACACACATCATGCTCATTCAATGTTCCAGTGTTTGTTGAATAAATGAGTAGTTATTTGACTACATGATGAAATCAGACTGCTGGTTAAAGGACCTAGACTTTTCATTTTAGTTACACTGGTTTCCAGCACATCGTGCAGTGATCTTCTTTTGCTTGGTAACACTGCCACAAGGAAACATGTGAAGGAGGTAAGAGCAAAAGCAGTGTGTGTATGTGTTTTGAGTATGGTGGGGAGGTTGTTGCAAGTATAATTTTGGTGGTGCAGAAAAAGCAACTGAGCATACTCAGACCTAGAAGTGGAGTGTAGATGTGGTAAGAAGCTTCGTGGACAAGAGAAGCTCTCTGGTGGTGCTGAGGTGGACACAGAGCCCAGCAGATCTGGGAGCACTAGGGAAGCCATGAAGACCCCAAGCTTTTTCTGTGAGTCTTCCTGGGTATATAGCTTTTTCTTTTATCTGCTACCATCATGGGAAAGAAGAGCCCTCTCAAGAGGGAGAATCTCCTTAAAAGACTGAGAAAATTAAAGATAAAGCTCTCTTCCTCAGGCAGGAAGAGGGACTTGGCCATGAAATCCACACACTCATCTAGGCTCTGAACTCTGCACAAATGAAGAGAAACCATTGCCACCCACCCCACTATGACATGTTGCCCCACCCATCCTATGTCAAAAGAAGAGTCATGACCTCTCAGAATGTTCTGAGATTCTACTGGATAGTTCCAGTGTAGGAAGATTAGACTCCTCAGAAGCTAATTGACTAGGGAAGGATCAGGAAGACAAGACACATCCAAAGGGAGGTAGAGTTTGTAGAAGAAATGGAGGGGAGAAAAGAAAACTAAGGGGAAGAGAGAGCCAAATGATTGACCTGTCCTTGGTTTTCTGAGCCCTCTTTAATACTAAAAATCTTAATATCTGGAAATTCTGGCATAAGCCAAAATAGAAAGCAGAGATTATTTTCCTGGGCAGTTGTAAACCTACATCCATGCCCATGGGGACTTATGGAAAGCAACTGGCCTAGAACAAAAAGAGACCTAAATATTATTGCCTCTATTTCTTCATAGTGTCTTGTATAAATTTCCAAAGGGTTTTATGTTGATAAGTCATCTATGACTATGTCTGCTAACAGGACATATATTCCAGCATTATCCCTTTATCCTGACTGTATCTTTACTAGGGTATAATCAGATCATGGGCAGAAGAATCGAAGGGCTGAGATTTGTCCTGGTTAAATGTGAGAATTACAGGGAGAAAACCAGTTAATTTGGTTTCTATTTTTCAGTAGAAGCAAAATATAAATAGTAGTTACTCTGTCCTTCATAAATGAACCCATTTCCCCAATTCATTAGATACAACTCTGTTGGCATTTTAGGGAATCTACAATGGAAGGACACAAGAAAGCTCAGCTAGATTAAGTAGTCATTATTATGCAAAGCCATATCCAGGGACCAAGGTGTGAAGCAGGTTTGCTACTGAACCCTTCCCTCATCTTCCTGCCTCCTTTTCCCATTCTACTCCTGTTTACGCACCCACCTCTGCACCCTACCCCAAGCATGCCATACCCTTCTGAAGTGATTACTGTAAATCCCCCATCCAAGCAAGCTCTTCCAAGATAGTACTTAACGTTTCAATATCATCCTTCATGCCTATCTAAAACAAAAGCCCTGTACCTCACAACGCTATTTGTGGTTAATCAATTCAAAGACAAATCAATGAATTAATTTACATTAGAAGAAAAAAAAAATATATATATATATCTCAAGTACGTCCCATGTGCTCTTTCTGAAATACTCTAGAGTTACCATTATTTCATTTAAATTTACTTCAAAAAAGATGTTTGCATTCTTGAAAGCTATGCCTAGAGCCTATTTGTGTGTGCTCAATGGAATGCCTCTCATGGTAACAATTTCAAACTTTGCAGCAGGCAAGTAAGGGAGAAGTATTGAGGTAGGAGGAGGAAGGGAAAGACTGAAGCCCTAACATGCTGGTGGAAAGCTTTTGTGGCTCTGCAGAAAGCCAGGCCTAACCGGAAGTGATGTGACAGGATCTTAGATATAAGTGTTCAATAAAAGGGTACTACATAAGCAGGTTTTGTGAGCAGTTTATCTAAGAAAAGATTGCCAAGAGAAAGATTTCTCTATAATGCAAGGGTTATTTAAGGAAGCAAAGCTTCTCATGAAACCAGAGTGAAGGTGCACTATTAGATTGATGACTTTGGAGGGAAAGCCATCAATCTGGGAAAGACCCTTGCTGACTGAGCTGAGAATTATCGAAACAGTTGTAGATCATGACAAACAAAGGCAATTTTTCAAGAATGAAAATGTTAGGTCCCCAGAGAGAGTGAGGTTAATAAACTCTATGTCTTTAGATATCCTTTCTGGCCCAATGATTATTGATATTAAGATAACAGGCCCTTGTTCATTTTGGGAACTGAGTCTATAGGTCAGAGAAAATGGAAATCTTAAGATTGGCCCAGTCAAAAAGAAACATTACCAGTTTGAACACGGACCTTGAAAGGGATATGCAGAGACTAGATGAAGCAAATCAGGAACTTCTTCTCAAAATCCGAGAGAGAGAAGATAAGATTCGGAGGTGAGTATTAGGGCTTCATGAGGGAAGTTTCTGATCCAAAGAAGGGGTGGAGGACTAAAACAAAAACTGAATTTTCCTGCTTGCTCTACAGACCTCTATGTTGTGTGGTAAAAAGTTACTTCTTCATTCTTTGACATTTCTCTTGAATACTGAAGCACAGCAACTTTCAAACAGATTCCTAAAAGAGTGGAGAACATTGGAGTGTTTGGCTTAGCAATCAGGCAGGCCTTCCTTCTTGTAATATTGAAGTGATCATGATCCGATGGATTCAGTAAGGGTTTTTGCTCGAGACTGATGTACAATGTTCCTGAATTTCTTTTATATCTGATATCTGTGTTTTATCAGTTCTGAAACTGCCAAACATGGGTCCTCACAGCATAAGTTTGTGTTGTCCAGGCTGGAAAGTGAGATCACTCAGACCAGAGACCTGGTGGAAGATGAAGAGTGGGAGAAGGAGAACCGTACCACGATGGAAAGGGAAAGAGCCCTGCAGGAGCTGGGAGAAGAAACAGACAGACTTGTAAGCAAGAAGCTGGGAAGAGCCATTTAATAGGTTGCATTCCTTATTCCATCCCTCATCAGTTGTCAGATTAGCTTGTCTCTCCTTTTTATACATGAAGAGTAGCCACCTCCAAACGTCATGCTAGAATTTATCCATGCATGGAAGAGGATACATTTAGTAAGGTGTTTGGCTTCTTCAGTAATGTTTAATATTGGGAAGTCCTGCAGATGGGCCTCTATATCCCCGTACTTCAACATGATTTAATCTCAACACACACATGGCATGATGCAAATAAGGTCAAGTTACTGCAGGAAAATATAGCTGGGGTGAAATGGACAGCAATCAACTGAAAAAGAACAGATGGATACAGAGGCAGACTTACACTCTTATTTCTCTCTCAAAGGAAAAGAAGAATGAAACGTTGGTCCACAGTATAACAGAACTTCAACGAAAGGTGAGGTGGGGTTCTTGTGTTCTCCAGTGTCCCCACAACAGCACCATTCATCAAAGAGGCAAGGCTGGGGGGAGGTGATCACAGAGGACCCGTAAGTCAGAGATCCCTGTATGTGAAGTGGGAACTACTCTAATCCACTCTCCCAAGGCCGAGGTTCATGATCTAAATGTTACAGGTTTTCTCTGTAAGCATGAGGGGAAAGGAATAGATGGAATATTTATTAATCTCATGGGTTCTTCCTACTATCACCAGAAAACAGATTCCAACAGATACTCTGTTGAAGTCATTAACTAGAGCCTTTGTGGTGAGAGGTTAATTTTCTTTCAACAGAGACTTTTTAAACAACAGCAACAATTACCTTAATCCCCAAGGATTTCCTTTTTCGTATGTAGGCATTTCTAATACCTCAACATCTCCTCAGAATACAGTGGACTTCCAATGACTAACCTGCCCTCTGACCCATGAGTAGAGAGTAGCCTTCTACTGCAGAGGGCTGTATCCCTGAGTAATCCAGCATGAATTGAGGGTTCAAGAAAGTACTCCTGCCTTGAGTCTCTAGCATCAGTGGCCAAGACTAGTGAGAAGAAGATGGAGGTAGAACAAAGATGTTTTCACAGGCCACCAAATATCTACCAAATGACCATGCCCTGGAAAGTTTTATCAAGGCCATAGTTACAAACCTCCACACACTAGAGAAAGTCTTTGTCTTCTATACGTTTTAATGTAATATATTTTTTATTTGAAACTATAGCTTACAAGGAAATCACAAAAGATAACCAATTGTGAACAAAGCAATCCAGATGGAGACCCAGAAGAGATAAAGGTAAATGAAAAAGTAATCCTAAATGTGGCTGGGCTATGTAGCCAGGAGACAAGCTGTTAAGTCGGAAATCATTGCAACATTGGACAAATTCTTGGTAGTTTTCCCCCATGTAAAGCTTAAGCTTGGGCCACTGAGTGCTGAATTCTTCTCTACCTTTATTAAGGAATGGCACTTTTAAGTCTGATTGGTTGTTCTCTCTTCTGCTAGGTAGAGCAGTGCACAAATGCATATGTAACACTTGAGGCAGTTGAAGTCCCTAGTTTAAAGCCACAGCGCATAATTTGGTGTATGAAGTTGAGTAATTTAGTCACTCCCTCTCAGCCTCAGTTTCAAGATTAAATGAATTGTGTATATAAAATGTTCTTTTCTTTTTTGGATGGCTCCAACTTCAAAACGATGTGTAAGTTTTAAGTTATTATTTAAAAGTCTTGCTGAAGCGCATGTATACATTCATAGAGGCAGCACTAGGTTTTTATGTCTACCGAGTGCTCGGCAATTTATGTACCCTGGCACGGATCCCAATCCAGAAAAGGATTCAATTAATCACTTGTGTATTTAATGTTACGACTACCTGCTAAGCATATCATACTCTGCTTGGCATGTCTCTAATTGTGTTTCAGAGCTAAGAACCTGAGGCTAGCCGCAACCTATTTGATGAGAGAGAGGAAGAAATTTCTTGTATATACTCATGGGGTACAAGTGCCATTTTGCTATAATGACATATTATGTTGTGGAGACTTCGTTTTTCTTCAGGGAGCAGATTAAAAAAAATTTGGCACATTCTCTACAATTACATCTTCATCCTTGCCTTATCTAACCTGTCTGTTCCTTCTAAAGCCCACACTTGGTTGTGTGTATGAAACCTCTGAAGATCTGGACACATAGAAAATAGAAATAGAAAATGAAAATATGGAAAATGACTCTCCTATCTTCTGCTGGCCAATTTAGTTTTGGTGACCACAAAAGTAAGAAATCTGAAGCCACCAAACAAGCTTGCTTGGCTCTGCTCATTCAGATTAGTTATCTGGAAAGAGAGAAATCAGGAAGAAGTTGGAGCCAAAATTAGGAAGGATTATAAAGAAAGCTGAGTATCATCTGACTGCAGTGGTCAAAACACTGATTTGCTTCAAGATCATTTCTTTTTGAAGCAATGATTTGAAGCAAATCATTTCTTTTTGAAGCCAGAATTGAATAGTGACACTTTAAGTCTGGCTATGTTCACTATGTTAACTGATGGACAACGGAGTTTAGTGTTAGTCAGAATAACGGCCATCATTTGGCTAGTTAACCCTGAAGAGTTCGAGAGTATTGTTTAATCCTTTGAACCACTCTTTTGCCCATCTATTTTATTGAATTGTCAGGTGATAGCTCTAATTCTGTGACATGTACAGGATCTCTTCTGCTTCTGTTCCTCTGACATGCTAGGAATCAGTGCAGCAGCTTAATGGGGTGCCTAATTCAACCCTTTGTGACTCACACCATTGGCTTGAAACTATGTATCCCTTAGCATCCTTGGCTGACTGGTCCTAGATGTCACTGAACAAAGAGTGAAGCAACTGTTAGAAGAGTCCAGATGTGAAATAACAGCACCTAGATGAAAGTGGGAACAGCAGAGCTGAAAAAGAAGGAAGAATGGTCATGTCTGCTCTTCTGCCAAATTATCTCTCAGATGCATCCTTTCCTGTCTACCACTTCTGTTGCTACTGTTTTTTTACAAGCCACCGTAACCCCTTACCTGGACAAGAGAAGTTACCTTTCAACCAGCCTCTCTGCTTCTATTTTCACACCCATCTCTTTTTTTCAGACACATAAAAGGCTATTCTCTAAAAACCAGAATCAGATTGTGTCTTTAGACTTCAAGCCTCTTCTGCCTTCTCACTGCAATTAGAACAAAGAACTGAAATCCTTTTAGAAGCCACACGGCCCTACACAATCTAGCCTGTCTACCTTTCCCCCCTTGTCTCCTACCTACCAATTTCCCTTGTGCTCTGGCCACACAATTCCTTCACACAAGCCAAATCTGTGTTAACTTCATGGTCTTGGCCCTTGCCATACCCTTCTAAGAGAACATATTTCTCTGGACCTCCATTTAGCTAGCACTTATCATTTAGGCTTTGGCTCGACCAGCATCACATCAGAGAGGCCTTTGCCAACCACCGCCTCTCACATCACCACTACCATTACTATCTTCCATCACATGAATGATTTTGTTTCCTTCATAGCACATACCATTATCATGTTGATGTATCTGTTGTGTCTCCCTGTTAGAATGCCAGCTCTGTGAGGGTGGAAAGCCGGTTCATCCTGTTACTACTGTATCTTAAGTACCACTCCCTGCTCCACGACACACACATACTTCACTCCAGAATAGTGGCTGATATAGAATGTTCTTTTGCCAAGTATTGCAGGAAATAAAAGGGCGAGGAAGGCATACGGGAAGGGAGAAAGGAGTAAGCAAACATCTTAGAGTCTGACTACATTAAAAGGAAAAGGAAGAGCGAAGTTTTTCAAAACTGGTATTATTTTTAAGAGAAATGGCAAAAAACAAAAAAAAGAGAAATGGCTAAGTAACAGTAGGAAGCTAAGAACTGAAGTTTAGAGGCAGCATTAGATGAAGACTAAAAAGTAGGGAGCATAAAAGAGCAAGTTCACCAAGCAACTGCAAAGGGCACTGAGTGGTTTCACCCCTCTGTCAGGAGGTGTGTGACATTGTGGCCCCAAGGCCCCTCACAGCTCGTAAGGCCACCTTGGAGACAGCCTTCCATTCCTGCACAGCTTTCACCTTGCCCAGTTAGCAGTCTCTTTTGCTTTCTTTAGGCTAAGTTACAACAGCTGGAAGCTTCCTACGCACGCCAAGAGAAGGAGCTGCTCAAGGTAACAGCAGGAACTTCAATGTGACTTATCCCTAAAAAGGAAAACGTGATCCTTGGTCAGACAATCTATTTCTCAAATGAGTGATTTACATTAAGGTTCCAGATCCAAGACCATGATGGGGCTAGGGAGGGGTAAAGAAAAGGAAGATAAACACAATCCCTGAGGTCACCTTCTCTTTCACATTTTTTTTTTTTTTTTACAGAATACACTCTACAGTATGTATCTCACAAATATTAGTAATTTTCTTTTCCGCTCCCAGTTGCCCGCAAATGCCCCCTTTGACCTATAACTCCCATTTAGCTTATTTACCTTAAAAGAAGGAAATACATTCATCTGTACAGCAAAAATAATAAATAAATAATATTTAGAACAGTTAGAAAACCACATTTAGGAGTTGGGACACAGGAGGAAACAAGTATGCTTGCGTTCTTATAACAATTTGCTGAAGCATATACACAACCAAATTTTGATTTCCCAGGTAATGAAGGACTGTGCATTTGTGGCCCAGCTCTGTGAAGATCAAGCCTTCTGCATAAAGGTAGAGCTTCTTGGTAAAGGGATAGCAAAGAGTTTATTAAGGTACAGCATGAAGTAGAACCAGGATTTTCAAAAACTACTGTCTAGAACAATTTCAACACTTCAGGGTGGCACTACTGGGAGACTTTGAGGTCATCAGCACCCCACTAACAATATCACTCTATTTGTCTTTGACTCCATGGGAATTCCTGCCCTGGTCTCCCTCTCTCTGTGCTGTTAAGTTAATAATGCACACTGCTATTTATAATGTCAATTATGTCCAGAAACATATCCAGTGGTGAGGCATAGCGAGAGATCAACAGTATTGGTGGGGTGGGTTTATGAAAGCAGAGAAGGTGGCAGTGGGAATACCAAGCATTCATGATACCATGCAATAATAAGTGATTATGCTCAGAAAAATTATAATGCTTCTAAGTAGTAACTGTAGCTTCCTTTGTTTCTCTTTGAAGAAGTACCAGGAAACGTTGAGGAAAATAGAAGAAGAACTAGAGGCTCGGTTCCTTGAGAGAGAAGTGTGAGCTTTGGCAAAGGACCATCCTGGTTTTGGCAGTAACTCCATCTCAGCCTGAGTCAGAGCAAACAATTCCCAGACCAATTTCTATTTGGAATTGAAGGAGTCCCGACCCCACATATCTTTCCCCTCTGTTAGTGATCTGGTTGACCTCTGGTAAATCACACCAACTTAAAAAATCCAGTCATTCTCCCATTCTTCTAAAAGACTACAGACACACCTCTCCCTTCATAATTTATCACATTATTATTTGGGTTGATATTAAGAGTAGAAACAGGTACTTTAAAAAGAGTTGGTGGTCAGTCACTTTGATAAGTCAGGTATTCCTTATATGTCACAGAAAGGCCTTTTAATTAATACCATCCTCAATTCCCCCAAATACATGGAAACTCAACCATATGGGATAGGCATGAAACTAATCTCTAGACTCAGACTACAGGTACCACATTATAAAAATCAGAATTGTACACTGTATTGAGCTATGAATATTTAAAATTAGAAATTATAAAGGGAAAGCACTCCTCAAAATATGCTGTTTGTCAGAAGTCTAAATGGTGAGAAATCCAAACCAAAAACCTCACCTCCATTTCTCGACCTTCTTTGTAAGTTAAATCTTAACTCAGTCAAGAAGTATTTCTATTTATGAAATACTTTCAAATCCTTGGATCAAGAGCAAGAGATCAAAACTGCATATTGTCTCTCTATAGGCCAAGTACAAACTGTGGACCAGGGTCCTGGGACTTGTAGGTCCCTGGTCCTAAAGGACACCTTCAAGTCACTTAAGATCCTTGCTGAACATTGGTTTATGGCTTGACTGTTAAGCCAAGACAGTCAACCTAGAACAGGTTGCCCAGTAGAATTATCTGTGCTAGTTAGCAGGTAAAACTAACTACATATGACAATTGAGTTCACAAAAGACATATTCAACTGCGGAAATGAATTTTAACTTTAATTAAATAGCTCTGGGCAGCCAGTAGTTACAATATTGGATAGTACAGATTTAGAATATCAAGCTATTTTTGAAATAACCATACCATAGTATTAATATATTAGTGCACTTTGTTCAATTTCTGTCCTGGCTCTTATCTTCATAGATCAAAACTCACGAGCATGAACTCTGTGGAAAAAGAGCATACCAGCCAACATAATGAGGTGAACACTCCACTCTCTCTTCAGTTTCTCATGGTGTCGTTGCCTTTCAAAGTCTCCAGCAAACTGTATATACTCACCAAATATATACCCAATCTTGCCATGTGCATTTTCCATGAACAGTACCAGCTATAATTACAGAGCATTCCACCCCTAAACAAAGTAGATGCTAAGGAACAAACTACGTTCTTCTCATTCTGCCATACAAATAACAGGTTTTCAAAAAACTAGCCAAAGACCTAAGAGAACTCCGAATGGAGGCAAGAAGTGACCTTAATTGAGGGTATGCTCACTCTATAGAAAAAGGCCAACACAGGGCACATACACCACCTCTTCCATCTCCTGCAATCATAGTATTCTTTCCTGAAGATCTTGACATGGTCCCTAATCTCTCACACCATAGAGCACCCACCGGCTGTTATCATCTAGTTAGAGTTGGCCTGTGAGTTAACACATAGAAAGCTATTGCTTCTTTGTGTCAGAGTTTCAGCATCTGTTCATATTTAACATTATGAAGTCACCAGCACACATGCAAAGGTCTGAGGGAAACAGAACACTTTCGTACAGAGCACCAATCCTCTGAGCCTGCTTCATGTCTTCTGGTAGCAAAGACAAAGGGTTAAAGTTCGACTTTTGGTGGCTTTTAATTTTGTAATTTATATTAGCTTTAGAGTCCAGGTTGACAATCATCAGAAATTTCATACAGTCGAGATAAATTCTCAGAAAAGAGAGCTCATCTCTTCCTTAAAAGCAAATATCAAATAATGACCATTGTGCTTGGGTCATCCAAGTATTTGGATATATATTAGGCCATGTCCATGGTTGTCAGCGTTCTGAACAAGTCATTCTGGCACCAAAGCTTGCATATTCTGCTTAGTAAACAAAATCCCTGAAACTAACTCGACCCACTTCTGCAGAACCAAGTTTTTGACATCTCCAATGTGTCCTACATCTCTCCCAACAACTCATCAAAGTATTCCTTCTAACTATCTATCAGAGAAAAAAAAAATAAAGTTGCCTACATCAAGCCCATTAGGGTCTCATGAAGGTTCAATGACCTAGTGATGTCTGAGCAACTTTAGAGAGAGGATCCTGAGCAACTGACTGGCATGCCATGTAATCTTACTTAAACTATCAAACAAACTGCATAATCCTGAAAGCTTCTTTCTAATTCTGATTCTGTGAGCCTCATTTCCACAGCTCTAATTTTTTTTTTTTGGTAGGAAGATGAGGTCTCACTGTGGTGTTCAGGCTGGTCTTGAATTCATGGACTCCTGGGTTCCTCCCACCTCAGCCTCCCAAGTAGCTAGGGCTACAGGCACCCACCACCATGCCTGGCTTTCTCTAAAATGTGATCATAATTCCTCTTTTTATCTCACAAGGAAGTTAAAAGGACAATGAAATAACTGAGAAAGTATTTTGAAATAAGAATGCCACAGCAATACAGGATGTATCCTCATCTTTAGATTTTTTCTTCACTTTTAAGTTCAGGGGTACATGTGCAGGATGTGCCCCATCACCTAGGTATTAAGCCCTGCTATTAGCTTTTCTTCGTGATGTCCTCCCTCCCACTACCTCATACCTGCTGACAAGCCCCAGTGTGTGGTGTTCCCCTGCATGTGTCCATGTGTTCTCATCATTCAACTCCCACTTATAAGTAAGAACATGCAGTGTTTGTGTTTGTTTCTGTGTTAGTTTGCTGAGGAAAATGGCTTCCAATTCCATCCATGTCCCTGTAAAGGACATGATCTCATTCCTTTTTATGTCTGCCTAGTATTCCATGATGTATATGTATCACATTTTCTTTATCCAGTCTATCACTGATGGACACTTAGGTCGATTCCATGTTTTTGCTATTGTGAAAAGTGCTGCAATGAATATTTGTGTGTATGTGTCTCTCTGATAGAATGATTTATATTCCTTTGGGTATATACCCAGTAGTGACATTGCTGGGTCAAATGGTATTTCTGCTTCTAGGTCTTTAAGGAATTGCCACACTGTCTGCCACAATGGTTGAACTAATTTATACTCCCACCAACAGTGTAAAAGCATTATTTTTTTCTGCAACCTCACCAGCATCTGTTGTTTTTTGACATTTTAATAATAGCAATTCTGACTGGTGTGAGATGGTATCTCATTGCGGTTTTGATATGCATTTCTCTAATGATCAGTAAGGTTTTTTTCGTATGTTTTTTGCCTGCATGTATGTCTTCTTTTGATAAGTGTCTGTTCACATCCTTTGCCCACTTTTTAATGGGTTGTTTTTGTTTTCTTATAAGTCTATTTAAGTTCCTTATAGACTCTGGGCATTAGACCTTTGTCAGATGCACAGTTTGTAAAAATTGTCTCCTATTCTGTAGGTTGTGTATACACTCTGGTAATAGTTTATTATTCTGTGCAGAAGCTGTTTTGTTTAATTAGATCACATTTGTCAATTTTTGCTTTCTTTGCAATTGCTTTTGGCATTTTCCTCATAAAATCTTTGCCCCTGCGTATGTTCATGGTATTGCCAGGACTTTCTTCTAGGGTTTTTACAGTTCTGGATTTTACGTTTAAGTCTTTAAATCATCTTCAGTTAATTTATGTATATTATGCAAGGAAGGGGTCCAGTTTCAATTTCCTGCAATCGGCTAGCCTGTTTTCCCAACACCATTTATTAAATAGGGAGTCCTTTCCCTATTGTTTGTTTTTGTCAGGTTTGTTAAAAATCAGATGGTTGTAGGTGAAAAGTTTATTTCGGAGTTCTCTATTCTATTCCATTGGTATCTGTGTCTGTTTTTGTACTACTACCATGCTGTTTGGGTTACTATAGCCTTCTAGATAGTTTGAAGTCAGGTAGTGTGATGCCTTCAGCTTTGTTCTTTTTGCTTAGGATTGTTTTGGCTATTAGGTTTCTTTTTTGGTTACAAATGAATTTTAAAATCTTTTTTCTAATTCTGTGAAGAATGTCAATGGTAGTTTAATGGGAATAGCATTGACTTTATAAATTACTTTGGACAGTATGGCTATTTTCACAATATTGATTCTTCCTATCCATGAACATGGAATGTTTTTCCATTAGTTTGAGTCCTCTCTGATTTCTTTCAGCAGTGGTTTGCAGTTCTCCTTGAAGGAGTCTTTCACTTCCCTTGGTAGGTGTAGTTTTTTGTTTTTTTTTTTTTTTTTGTAGCAATTGTGAATGGGAGTTCATTCATGATTTGGCTCTCTGTTTGCCTGTTGTTTGTTTATAGGAATGTGTGACTTTTGCACATTGATTTTGTATCCTAAGACTTTGTTTCTTTTCAGCTGAAGAGATTTTGGGCTCAGATGATGGGGTTTTCTAGATTAAGATCACGTCACTGAAAACAAAGACAATTTTACTTCCTCTTTCCCTATTTGAATACCTTTTATTTATTACTCTTTAATGAATGCCCTGGCCAAAACTTCCAATACTATGTTGAATAGGATTGGTGAGAGAGGGCATCCTTGTCTTGTGCCAGTTTTCAATGGGAATGCTTCCAGCTTCTGCCCATTCAGTATGATATTGGCTGTGGGTTTGTCATATGTGGCTCTTATTTTGAGGCATGTTCTTTCAATACCTAGTTTATTGACAGTTTTTAACATGGAGGAATCAGAGGCCTTTTCTTCATCTATTGAGATAATCATCTAGGTTTTGTTTTTAGTTCTGTTTATGTGATGGATTATGTTTATTGATTTGTGTGTGTTGAACCAACCTTGCATCCTGGGGATGAAGGCAAATTTGATCACTCATCTTTAAATTTTTATAGCTTTTAAGACTTATCTCTTAAGATATATTTATATAGTTTTCTTAGGCTACAAACTTCTCTAAGGGTCACTGGCTGAGCAGAAGATGGAATAGTATAGCTGAGAGAGCCAAGAATGTGGACTCAGAGAATCCAGATTCCAGGCCCAGTCCTGCCACTAACCAGCTGTGTGACCTTGGACAACATACTTTGCCTTTCTATGCCTTAGTATGGTCATATAAATATGAAAAAAGGTAGGATGAATAATACTAATAAATATATTTTTATTTCGCCTGAAAATTTTATGTGCTTATGCATATAAAAAGAATTTGTCAAAGTTATCTAAATAATATTTAACTAATGGCTTACACTAAATATTACTGGACAATGATAATAACCTCCAGAAATTGCTTATTTATCAATATCCTTTCATCTTTTTCCAGGGTATGCCTACCCATAAGACAGCAGTATTATTCAGTAAAAAGTAAGTAAAATATCTTTAAGTAAACTTCCTATAAAATTGGGAGCCCTAGCCATCTTGGCAGAGGGAAAAGCCTAAACTAGAACCTCGTTCGTGCACACACACACACACACACACACACACACACACGAGTCAAGTCAACAAACTGTCATTGACTATTTCTCAATCCTAATGATACAACTTACTTGCTTAAAGGTAATTAATAATCTCAACTTTCAATTATTAAAATCAATAGCCTTGTGATAATAAGAAACAGGAATTTGATTATCTAAAAGAAATGTGGCAAATCTCTTATTTATTGCATTTTCCCTTTAACAATATGAATTAGATTGATGTATCTGGTTTCCTAGTAGCTTCTGCAGATTAGATGAAGACTGTCACATGCTAGTATAACACTGCAAGAATTATGAGAAAGAGCATCTAACAGTATTCAACACATAATTGTTACTCAAAACTACTTGTTAAATTGAATAAGAATTTAAGACTCAAACACCTGAGTTGATATTCATCCTGAGGGAATCACTGTGATAGCAAAGTAAAATTGGTATTCATGAAGCCCCTACATTTTCAAGAAAAGGTCAAATTACATTCAATATAATCTGTTTAAGAAGGCATAAAGAAACATATATTCAAAATGGTATTAAATATGATTTAGACAGAATTCCATCAAAATGGTTAACATAAAATTATTGGTGCTTAAAGGTCAGCTTCAATTGTCTGGAAAATTTGCTTAAGGAGAATACCCCTTCATACCAGATAAATGAAATGTCACATCTTTCAATATTCCCAAACACAATATTCCTGAAACAATTAGCAGAATTTTCTGTAGAACTCCTAGTTTGTTCTCTTATGCTCTAACACCAGGGCCCACCATGGAAATGACTGTGTGGACTTCTAGAATAAGGACTGTCTGCCTAAAGCGAGTTGGTATCCTCAAGGGAATCTTACAAAAGACATCCTGCAAGTCTCGCTCATCATGTCAAACTACAAATGTCTTTCCACTTGTTCTGCCACAACATCCTGTGGGCACTGGTACATCGGGCACTAACTCAAGAGACAAGAAATCTCAGCTATTCCTAGGATTTTCCCTGGGAATGAAATCCCAGAACCTCTCATGTACATTGCCTCAAATTTCATGGAGAGTAGTGGGAAGATTTTTCAAGGGCTTCTGATTCTAATTTTGACCAAGGTGCTGTACTAAAATGAGTACTGGCTCCTGTCACCAAGATCACCCATAGCAGCAAACTTGAGAAAAGTGGAGGGGGATGAGCTGTTTTTGACTGATAAGGGTGAACAGTGAATTTGTCCTGGGGCAGAGATATCCCAAAACAGCTGGGTAAGGATAATACAGGAAAGAAATAGAAAAGGCTTACTCATACAAATCATATTAAATAAAGCCATAAGGTCGGCCGGGCGCAGTGGCTCATGCCTGTAATCCCATCACTTTGGGGGGTCAAGGCGGGCAGATCATGAGGTCAAGAGGTAGAGACCATCCTGGCCAACATGGTGAAGCCCCATCTCTACTAAAAAATACAAAAATTAGCCAGGCACAGTGGCGCATGCCAGGAGTCCCAGCTACTCAGGAGGCTGAGGCAGGAGAATTGCTTGAACCGGGGAGGCGGAGGTTGCAGTGAGCCGAGATTGTGCCACTGCATTCCAGACTGGTGCCTGGCGACAAAGCAAGACTGTGTCTCCAAAAAAGAAAACGCCTTAAGGCCTAAATAACTCATCAGTTGAAAGAAAAAAAATCAAGACCACTATAAGGAGGTTTATAAAAAATTATTACAAAATGTTACAGATAACATGAATGATAGAAGACAACATAATCTTGGATAGAAACTCATTTATCAAGAAAGTAAGAACTGCCTCCAAATGACTAATAAATTCAACTTATTTCAAGTCTAACTCTCCAAATGGTTTTCCATGGAATCAAATAAAATAAATCTAAAATATACTCTATATGGAAGAATAAAGAGTCAAGAATAACCTGGACAGTTTTAAAGAGCACGGAGTGGGGAACATGCCCTTCCAGATACCAGGACTTACCATGACGCTATAGTAATTATTATAGTGTAATATTGGGACAGGAATATGAAAACTGCCTAGTGGAATGGAACAAAGAGTTCAGAAATTGTGCACACAGCAAACTTTGGTATGTGACAGTGATTGCATGTGAAACGAAAAGGAAGAACAGCAGGAAAACACGGTTATCTATGAGATTGGATCACTAAATATAAAAGGCAAGCCCAGATGCATTAAAGATGTAAATGCTTTTTAAAAAAAAAATTAAAATCTTCGAAACTCTGTATTATTTTTTATGCTACATAATAAATTATCTCCAAAACTTAGTGACTTCAAAGAACAAACATTTATTAGCTCACGGTTTCTGCGGGCCAGGAATCCACTTAGCTAAGTGGTTGTAGTTCGGTATCTGTCATGAAGTTGCAGTTAGGATGTAGTGATTAGGATTGCAGTGATTAGAAGGTTGGGCTGCAGCTAGAAGTTATATTTCTAAGGTAACTAACTCACACATGCAGCAACCTCTTTCTGGTAGTTGACAGAAAGTCTCAGTTCTCACTGCATAGACCCTTCCATAGGGCTGCTTGAGTGTCCTCACAGCATGACTGCTGGCTTCCTCCAAAGAGCCTGGAGGAAACTGTAATGCCTTTATGATGTAATCTAGGAAGCTATAGTATACACTGTGACTTCCACCATATTCTATTCTTCAGAAGTAAGTTATTAAGTCCAACCCACACTCCAATGGAGGGGAATTCTCTTGAAAGGAGGAGTAGCAAGCCATCTATAGACACATTTTTAAACTGCCATAGGCTTTTAATAGAAAATATGAGTATCTTTTGCGTCTTGGGATAGGGAATTTTTTTTTTAAACGACACAAAAAGCATTGATTCTAAAGAAAGAAAAGATTGACAAACTAGACCCTACTAAAATTGAGAACTGTTTTTCTTTAACATTCTAGAGCAAGTCAAATTTATAAAGTCGGGAGGATATATAACAATACATACAATGGAAAAGGATTAATATCAAGAACATAAAAGAAATTCTTTCAAATCACTAAGAAAAGCTCAAACTACCTTGTAGTTAAATGGGCAAGAAGAAACACATAAAACCAATAAACCTATGAACAGATGTTAATCTTCATTGTAATCAGGGAAATCCATATTGAGGCCATAATGAGAGATTATTTTCCACCGATTTGATCAGCGAAAGTGTTTAAACCTGATAATATCACGCGTTGGAGAAGATATGGGTCCACAAAAACCTATATCTTGCTGGAGGCTTATAAACCAATCCAACTGTTTTGAAAAAGAACTCACCAAAACAAAACCAAAAATAAACAAAACCAAAAATAAGAGAATGAAACAATTTTAGTGATAAATGCTACCAAGAAAATAAAACATGGTAATGGACAGAGAATAACCAGCAGGCCAGAACATGGGAAAGGGGAGCTGCCACTACAAAGGGTTGTCAGGAAAGCGGGTGACAATGCATGGGAAACATTTGAGTATCGGTAAGGAGCCAGACGCGCATTCAGGTATGACTTGTTTTTTGTTCCAAGTTTTCTAACCTCTGGTTAACAGTTTGTTGGCTTTCTCTTTGCAGGTTTTTTTGCTGTCTGTTTTTCATCACCCTGTTTTTCATCAGACTGCTGAGCTACGTGATTTTTCATGTAAGGTTTATAAATCCAGATCTCCTCGTCAATGTACTGCCCAGGGTACTGAGCAGGAGCATCTTGTGGAAGCTCAGATGCGTCTTCTTTCCATCTCTCACACTTGAGACAGAGGACATGTTACCCCACTGATCCCGAAGAAATATCCTTGAGCAACAGAAGGGAAGTGGGATGCTAGCATGTAGAAAGAAGGCAGGAGACTTGGAGAGGAAAGAGGTTTGCTTCAGTTTTTTCCTCAAGGTTTGCCTAGTTGACTACCTTCTCACTCCACATCATCTATCTAAGATTAACCTCGTCCAGTAAAAGGCTCTGTAATAGATTTATGTGGCTTTATGGATCAGCTGAATAGTACCTGATAGTAAACAAATTTGACCATTAGGGGAATTATATAAACGCTAAGAAAAGCTAATTTATTATTCTAGTCAATCTAAAAAATCTGACACACTGGGTCCCTGAAATGCAGAAGATTACTTACTACTTATATTAGAACTCATAGGTTGTGAGTGACCTTAGCTTAAAGTAATTTATGCCAAATACATAAATAATTATATTTACACATTTAAATATAAAATAAAAAGCCTATGAAAAAGCCAGGCAAGACAGCAGAAGACTCCACCAATGATTCCCCCTTCAAAAACACCAATTTAACAACTATCTACATAAAGAAAGCACCTTCATAAGAATGAAAAATCAGGTGAGCACTCACAGTACATAGTTTTAACTTCATATCGCTGAAAGAGGCACTGAAGAGGTAAGAAAACCAGTCTGGAATCACCAAAACCGCCGCTTCCCCTTCCTCCAGCAGCAGGAGTGTGGTATAGAGAGCATTTCTGTGGGCTGGGGAGAGAAAGATTGCAGCATTTGCGGGACATTGAACTCAGTGGTTCCCTATTACAACAGAAAACAAAACCAGATCAAACTCAGCTGACACCTGCCAGCAAGGAATAATTTAAACCAGCCGTAGCCAGAGGAGAATTGCTAATCCCAGCTGTCAGGATTTAAGTTTTGATAAGCCTTGCCACTCCCAAGCTAAAGTATTCTGGAGACTTAAATAAACTTGAAATTCCTAGGTGAGTACTAGTGCTTTACCAGGCCCAGACACAGTGGACTTGGTGGGGAGCCGTGGTGGTCAGAGTGTCTAAGGGAGTGCTGGAATCATCCCTCCCCTAACCCCAGACAGCACAGGTCATGGCTCCAAAAGAGACCCCTCTCCTCTGCTCAGGGAGGACCCAAGTTGGGAGGACTTTGTCTTGCATCTTGAGTCGCAGCTCCAGCCACAGGAAAATAGGGCACCAGTCTGAGTCATGAGGCCCCCTTTCTAGGCCCTAGCTCCAAGATGACATTTCTAGACACAGCATGGGTCAGAAGGGAAGCTGCGACCTTGAAGAAGACTCAGTCCTTGAAGGACTCATTATCTGCTAACTGAAAAGCCCTCAGGCCCTGAATAACCAGCAAGAATTCTTAGGTATTATGTGGAGGGCTTTAGGTGAGACCCTGAGAATTGCTGGCTTCAGGTGAGACTCATAGTCTCAGCTATTGTGGCTATCGGTCAAGATTCCTTCTACTTTAGAAAAGCAGAGGAAAAAGCAAAGGGGACTTTGTCTTCCAGCTTGGCCACAGTAGGGTAGAGGACAGAGTGAGTCCTTGGGGTCCCCAGTTCCAGGACTTGGTTTTTGGAATACATTTCTTGAACTGCCCTAGGCCAGAGGGGATCCCACTACCCTGAAGGGTGAGTCTCAGTCCAGGCAGCGTTCACTGCAAGTTGACAGAAAAGCCTTTGGGCCTTCCTTTAAAAAAACCTTAGTGGTAGTCTGGCAGTACTCCCCATAGACCTATGGTGGTAGTGGCCATGGTGTGAGGCATCTCTGCCTTTGGAAAGGGGAGGAAAGAGGAGAAGGACTGAGTCCTTTGGTTTCAATGCCAGCTCATCTCCAGTACGATACAATATCAGTTAGACTTCTAAAATCATCGACTCTGGACCCTGGCTTCCTGACAGCACCTCTGGACATGCACAGGGCCGGGGAGACTCACCACACTGAAGGGAAGGACACAGGCCTGGTTGCTGTACCACCTGCTGATTGTAGAGCCCCAGGGCCTTGAGTGAACATAGGCTGTAGCCAGGGAGTGATTGCAGCAGGCCTTGGGTAAAACCCAGTGCTGTGCTGGCTTCAGGTTTAACCCCGCACAGTCCTAGTGGTTTTGGCCGCAGAGGTACTTGTGTTAAACCATCCAGTGCTCCAGATGACTCAGAAGAGAGAGACTCCATTCATTTGGAGGAAGTAAGCAAAAAGGATAAGAATCTCTTCCTGATAATCCAGAGAATTTTTCCAGATTTTGCATAAAACCATCAAGGTGCTACCTCTACAAGTCTGCAAGAACCACAGTATTACTGGGCCTACGTGGCCCCTAAGGCAGATATGGTTTAGATCACAATATCAAAGTCCTTTTGAATATCTGGAAGGCCTTCCCAAGAAGAGTAGGTACAAACAAGCTCAGACTGAGAAGACTACAATAAATGCCTAACTCCAATGCCCCAACACCAAACATCTACAAGCATCAACATCATCCAGGAAAACATGACCTCACCAAACTAAGTAAGGCACCAGGGACCAATCCTGAAGAAACAGAGATATGTGACCTTTCAGACAGAGAACTAAAATACCTGTTTTGAGAAAACTCAAAGAAATTCAAGATAACACAGAGAAGAAACTCAGAATTCCATCAGATAAATTTAACAAAGAGATTAAAATAATTAAAAGAATCAAGCAAAAATTCTAGAGTTAAAATGCATTTAGCATACTGAAGAATACATCAGTCTTTTAAAAGCAGAATTGATCAAGCAGAAGAAAGAATTAATGAGCTTACAGACAGGCTAACTGAAAATACACAGAGAAAACAAAAGAAAAAAAAAAGCACACCTACAGGATCTAGATAGTAGCCTCAAAAGAAAACATCTAAGAGTTATTGTCCTTAAAGGGGAGTTAAAGATATAGGCATAGAAAGTTTATTCAAAGGAATAAAGAACTTCCCAAACCTCGAGAAAGATATCAATATCCAAATATAGAATACCAACAGATTTAACCCAAAGAAGACTACATAAAGGCATTTAGTAACCAAACTCCCAAGGTCAAGGATAAAGAAAGGATTGTAAATGCAGCAAGAGAAGAGAAACAAATAATGTACAGTGGAGCTCTGATAGGTCTGGCAGCAGACTTTTCAATGGAAATCTTACAGGACAGGAGAGAGTGGCATGACATATTTAAAGTGCTAAAAAAATAAACATTTATCCTGCTATAGTATTCTGGTGAAAATGTCTTTCAAACATAAAGGATAAATGCTTTCCCAGACAAACAAAATCTGAGGGACTTCATCAACACCAGACCTGTCCTACAAGAAATGCTAATCAGAGTACATTAATCAGAAGGAAAAGGACATTAATGAGCAATAAGGAATTATCTGAGGCACAAAACTCACTGGCAATAGTAAGTACACAGGAAACAGAATATTATAACATTGTAACTGTGGTATATAAACTACTTAGGTAGGAAAACTAAACAATGAACTAATCAGAAATAACTACAACTTTTCAAAACATAGACAGTATAATAAAATATAAATAGAATTTAAAAAGTGGAAGGACAAAGTTAAGAAACAGAGTCTTTGTTTTCTTTTTGCGTGTTTGTTTATGCAAGCAATGTTAAGTTGTTATTAGCTTAAAATAATGGGTTATAAAATAGTATTTGCTAACCTCATGGTAATCTCAAACCAAAAAAATACAATGGTTACACAACAAATAAGATGCAAAAAACTAAATTATATCAACAGATAAAATCACCTTTACTAAAAGGAAGAAAGGAAGAAAAGAAAGAAGACCACAAAACAACAAGGAAACAAATAACAAAATGGAAGAAGTAAGTCTTTACTTATCAATAATAACATTGAGTGTAAGTGGACTAAACTCTCCAATCAAAGGACATAGACTGACTGAATAAATTTAAAAACATGACCCAAAGAACTGTTGCCTAAAAGAAACACACTTGACTTATAAATGCACACAAACTGAAAATTTAAAAGATAGAGAAAGATATTCCATGCAAATGGAAACCAAAAAAAGAACAAGAGTAGCTATACTTATATGTGACAAAATAGATTTCAAGGTAAAAAATACAGGAAGAGACAAGGTCACTACCTAATGATAAATGAGTTAATTCAGCAAGAGGATATAACAATTTTAAATATATATGTACCCAACACTGGAGAGCCCAGATATATGTAGCAAATATTATTAGAGCTAAAGAGAGAGAGAGACCTTAATAAAATAATACCTGGGGATTTTAACACCCTACCTTCAGCTTTGGAGAGATCTCCCAGACAGAAAATCAACAAATAAACATTGGATGTAACCTGTACTGTAGTCCAAATTAACCTAATAGATATTTACAGAACATTTCATCTATTGGCTTCAGAATACACTTTCTTTTCCTTAGCACAGGGAGCACTTTCAAGGATAGGCCATATATTAGATCACAAAACAGCATTCACAAAAAATTAAAATAATATCAAGCATCTTCTCTGAACACAATGTAATAAAACTAGAAATCAAAAACAAGAGGAATTTTGGAAACTATAAAAATACATGGAAATTAAACAATATGCTCTAGAATGACTGGTAGGCCAATGAAGAAATTAAGAAGAAAATTGAAAAAATTCTTGAGACAAATGATAATGGAAATACAACACTAAAAAAAACTTATAGGATACAGCAAAAGTATTAATAAGAGGAAAATTTATAGCTATAAGTGCCTATATCAAAAAAGAAAAACTTTAAATAAACAACCTAATGGTGTGTTTAAAGAATTAGAAAAGCAAATGCAAAACAAACCCAAAATTAATAGAAAAGAAACATAAAGATCAGAGCAGAAATAAATGAAATTGAAATGAAGAAAACAATTCAAAAGATCAATGAAACAAAAAGTTGCTTTTTTTGAAAAATTAAACAACATTGAAAACCATACAGCCAGACTTACGAAAAAAGAGAGAAGATCCAAATAATGAAATCAAAGATGAAAAAGCAGACATTGCAGCTGGTCCTGCAGAAATTCAAAGGATTATTAGTGGCTTCTATGAGCAACTATAGGCCAATAAATTGGAAAATCTAGAAGAAATTGACAAATTCCTAGACACATCCAACTTAGCAAGATTCAACCATGAAGAAATACAAACCTGAAAAGACCAATAACAAGTAATGGTTGGGTAGTATTCAATTGTATATATACACCAGTTATCTACTTGTTGACTGATGGGGATTTGGGGTTGG